TGCTCAAAATGCCTTTCTTTGTTTTTAAAGGGGACATTAAACTGGATACTTTTCAGCCAGCAGCCAGTTCTTAGGACAAAATAGTCAGTTCTTAGTAGCGCAAAAAGTGTTTATTAGTTCAAGCCTCTGATGGGAAATAGAAATATAGGCTTAAAATCAGCTCCGTGCATGTCACCTTTAACTTTTCCTTTAGAGACATTCATTCATTATGACCCCAATACCAGAGTATTCTTCACAAGAAGAATTCAAGCAGATTTTTCTATCTTTACCAATGTGAAATTTCTATTTTTAAGTATTTTTCATTGTTTGCAGGCCTCTTTTCAACACTCTAGCATTCTTAAAATTCTGAAATCTTGAATGCCGTATTTTTTTAAAGATTTATTTTATTTATTTGAAAGACAGAGTTATAGAGAGAGGTAGAGCCAGAGAGAGAGAGGTCTTCCATCTGCTGGTTCACTCCCCAAATGACTGCCAATTGCCAGAGCTGAGCTGATCCAAAACCAGGAGCCAGGAGCTTCTTCCTGGTCTCCGACGAAGATGCAGGGACCCAAGGACTTCTTGGCTCAGTTACAGCTTGTGTTACAAGGAAGAGCTCAAAACAGAGTTAGTGCTGCCAAAGCACACTCATATTAGTCATAATTAAAGTACCAAGTTACCTAGGTTCACAATAACTGTAACACAACAAAACATGTCACAGCAATTTCCTATACCCCATCATATGCAAACTCATTTTTAGGGAGCAATCATGCGTCCTTCCTCTGGTTACACCAGAACCACACAGGAATGTACCTGCAAAATCTTCTTAACGTTCTCAATTTAGGGCCAGCATTGTGGCGGAGTGTGTAAAGCTGCTGCCTGTGATGCCAAGATCCCATAGGGGTGCTGGTTCAAGTCCCAGCTGCTCCACTTCCAATCCCACTCCCTACTAAAGTGCCTTGGAAGGCAGCAGAGGATGGCCCAAGTCCTTGGTCCTGCACCCATGTGGAAGATCCACAAAAAGCTCCTGGCTTCAGAGTGGCACAGTCCTGACCATTGCAGCCATTTTGGGAGTGATCCAGCAGATGGAAAATCAATCTCTCTCTCTCTCTCTCTCTCTCTCAGACTCTGGCTTTCAAATAAATAAATCTTAAAAAAATTCCCATTTCATATGCATAGGTTTATACCAGACCCCTTGGCCTAGTCAACAATTACTATTTCAAAGCATTACTGTGGCTCTTCAGAACTATATGAAGTAGATATGGTTAACATTCCCATTTTACAGAGGAAAACCTGTGACTCTGAGATGTTGGGCAAGTCCCTCAAAGTCATAAAAAGTGAGTCAAGAGGATTCAAGTCCATGGTGTTTAGCTCCCTCCTAACCTGCCCCATATACTGCCCTGGCCTCCATCTGGAAGGAACACAACACTAGAGCCCCATGGGAGGAAATTTTAGCTGTTTTCAGTACCTTGGGGAGAGCTGGTGAGTCTGAGTGCCACTGCACTGGCTCTCGTGTGCTTATTTGGTCCTTCACGCCTGTGCAGCTGTTTGGAAGGAGAGACATTTTCTCACTGCTAATGGGACTCCTATTCAGTATCATCAGGAGACAAATCGTAGGTTGTCCTGAGAGGTGGCAACCATACACTGCAAGGGACGCCAGAAAGTGACAGGTGAAATTGTAGAGGGAAACCGACTGGCTGACTTGGCTGCCTGAGCAACAGCCAGGGAAACTTCTCCCCTTGAATCCTGGGAGACTCCTCTAGTCTGGGAAAGTCTGTCATTGGAGATCAAACCCCAATATACACTTGAGGAGACCCAAAGGGCACTCTCTTGGGATCACAGCCTCCGTGCAAATGATGGTTCCCATCCGAGGAGGGAAAAATTCATCCTCCTGCCATGCCAATGGAAAGTTCTTAAGACTCTCCACCAAACTTTCCACCTAGGGCAAGATAAGACCTTATAAGTGGCCCAGCAGCTATCTACTGGGAAAAGTCTCTAAAAGACAATCAAGTAGGTTATAGGAGCTTGCAAACTATGCCTCAAAAAACCTCAGAAGCCAAATGTTCCCACTTCCCGGAATGCAAAGAAAGGGAAGATATCCAGGGGGAAGAATGGCAGTTGGATTTTACTTATGTCTCTGAGACCAGAAATGCCCAGGACCTTGTAGTCTGGGTAGACATCTCTGCTGGCTGAGTTGAAGTGTTTCCTTGCAGGACTGAAAAGGCTATGGAGGTAACCAAAGTTCTTCTTACAGAAATTACCCTGAGATTTGGACTCCAAAAAAATCTACAGAGTGACAGTGGTCCTTCCTTAAAACAGCAGTCACACAAGGAGTCTCCAAGGCTCTCGGCATTCAGTATCATCTCCATTGCACACACAGACCCTCATCCTCAGGAAAGGTAGAAAAAAACTAACGACATCCTTAAACCACACCTAAGAAAGCCACCCCAGGAAACTCATCTCCCCTGGGTAAATCTGCTACCCAGAGCATTCATGCTCATTAGAAATACCCCTTCTGATTTAGGCCTAAGCTCTTTCAAGAAGCCATGTGGGAGGTCTTTCCTTACTAATGATCTAGTGACATACCAAGAAACCATTAGCCTCACTAAATCTGTTGCTGAATTAGCTAAATTCCAAGAAGCTCTTCAACAATGACCTGAAAAACTGCCAAGTCTTTGGGAATTCCTAAATTCAATAGTGGAGACTTAGTGCTGATAAAAGCTCTTCCTAGTCACTCTCCATGTCTTCCTGAATCCTGGGGAGGCCCTTTGACTGTCATCCTGGCCGCTCCCCCACAGTAGGGGTCTCAGGCCACGATGCCTGGATCTATCCTACCAGAGTAAAGTCTGGACCTCTGGAGCCTCAGCAAGACCAAACTCTGGGAAACAACCCTAGGTCTGACCCAAGCAAGGACAATGACCCCTGTGAAGCCACAGAGGGACTCAAGGCTTTGCGTCCTCTAGGATTAAACAACCAAAAGCCATCAAGCTTCAGGCCATACTCCAGGTGAAGCCCCCAAGAACATCCACATTCTACCAGGGATCCCTAGATCAATCCTCAGAGGAATGTTCTGCTGCTGTTCCATCTCTGTGCCCTTTGTCAGCAGGATGCAGCCAGAGTGGTTGTCACCCCAAACCCTTAATGGCTGTTAGGGTCCATTCTTCTGGTGAGGGGCGGAATGCGAGGAGTTAGCTGGGCTAATAGGCAGTTAGGTCAGTTGGAATGTGTGTCAGGCTAATGCACAGTTAGTTCTGTTAAGTGCACTTAGTTTTTATCAGGTGGGAAAGCTAGACAGGATTGTAATCCCTGCCTTCTGATTGGCTGCTATTCTGCCCCCGCCCCTGATTGGTTAAATCCAGGTCTGGTTTTCAGAAGGGGGCCAATAGAGAGAGCTATTTTTTTTTTTTCTAAAGGGCAGGCCTTTAGAGGCTTAACTGGCAACTCCTCCCTTGGAGACCTCTCCTGACTGCTGTGTCAGTAGGTCTCTCACTTTCAATAAGTCTCGCTTTGCTCACTGCCCCCTGTCCATGTGGAAATTCTTCTTCGCCATGAGACAAGAACTGAGATCACCTTCACCGTTTTGCAACACCAGCAGCTGGAGAGGCGAGTACCACCCTGTGCTGCCTCTGAGCACAAAGCAAGCTTAGGAGTCACTTGCATTCCCAGCATCCACTTCTGTTGCCCTTACTTGGACCCGAGAAGCTGCGTCAAGCAGACATAGTGTTCTGGGCAAGGGAATAGCAAGGCTGAGGCCAGCATTCAGAAACGCCCACGCTGAGTTCATTCACTCAACATTCATTCATTGAGTGACAACCACGGCTAAGGAACACTGGTGATGTTTCAACTTCCATGCTGCTTAGGAGGATGGAAAATAAACATGCTCACAAAGGAATAAACAAGATGCTTTGAAAGCTGACAGCTGTATGCAGAAAGTAAATCAAAACACGACGGGGGGCCTGATGTAGACTGGGTGATGGAGGAAGGGCTGACAGGTCAGTTGAGCAGGTGCATGGCTGACAAGAAGGAGGCTCTGGGACCAGGGTGGCTCAAAGCTCCCCGAGGGAGTGGTGGCAGGCGGGAGTCAGAGAGCCTCCACAGGCTTTCCGGGGGCCCTTCGGGCACCTTCCGTGTCCCTCTAAGGGTGTGGGGAAGACAGCGGAGAAGTGTAAGCGGGGCAGGGGAGGAAGGCCCGGTGAACGAAGCGCCACGGCTGCAGTGTGACAGAACGGCCTGTAGGTGGGGCAAGCACCGGCGGAGAGCCGCTTAGCAGCACACACTTTCTTCCACCACAGCAACTACAGAACAGGTTCTAAAATGTGCCGAGGCCACCGTCAGGGCGGTGCCAGGCGGTGAGGGCGCCGGGGACGCGGAGCCTCCTGGAAACCGCCCTCCCACACACCACGGGCACTCTGGCGCGGGAAGGCCCCCCAGGCTTTCGGAGCCTCGGCTTTCCCTTCTGTCAGATGGGGGCAATGCTTGCCTTCAGGCCATTTTGCCTCAGGCGCCTCATTCGTCACGGGCGCTTCAGAGGTGGTTAATTTTTGTAAACAGGCCCAAGAGACTATTCGCTGGCGAAGATGCTACCTTGCTCTGGAAGCAAATTGAGGCCGCTCTGGGGATGGGGGTGGGAGGATATTTAATATTAAGCACCTGGCGAAGGTTACGTGACCTCAAAATGCACTCCGACTCGGATCCAGCACTGGGTGGGGATCGCGAGAGTAGCTGGGGGTCTCGGGAGGAGGGGAGGGAATCTAGCACCCCAGAGTCCCAAGCAGGGGTCTCATTAGGCCTCCGAATCTGGCTCCCTCCAAGCCTGTAACGGCACCGGCCTTCCGCTTCAAACTCCGGCGGCGGCTCCGGCGCAGCCCCGCCCCGCCGGATTTCGGTTTCCTTTTCGCGAGTCCTGCCGCTCCACCCCCCCGCAACCGCCTGGGGATTTGCCCAGTGATCAGTGACGTAGGGGAGACCGAGGTGCCCATTGGCAGACGGAGTTCGGCAGCGACCAATGCCAGGGCCGCTCGGGAAAAATCTCGGTGGAAGGCCTCGAAGAGCCGGGAGATTACGGGGCGGGGACGAGCTGTCGCGCTCGGGGGCTCGTGGAGGAGCGGGACCCCGAACGTACCGGCGCGGGAGAGAGGCGACCCCAGCCCCGGATTCGCGACCCGGAGCTCGGGACTGGTGAGTGGCGGCCTCCGATGAGAACTGCCGCGAGGCGGCGGTCTGACCAGCGCGGCTCAGGGCCGGGCGGCCGCTGGGCCCCGGGGCGGAGCGGGGCCAGGCCGCCCGGCGGGCTGGGGCGCGGGCCGGACCCGCCGCCACCTCCCCGCCGGCCCAAGCCCTGCCGCTTCGCCCGCCCCTGCATCTGCGGGTCCCTCCCGGGCCTTTCTGCTTCCCAGGGCTCAGTGTGGGCGCGTATGCGTTCCAGTCCCCACAGCCAGAAGTCAGCGGGGCCCGGATGGCGGTCTGGTTGCTCGGAGTCGGGTAGAGACGCGGCCAATCCGGCTCCGTGGTCAGAGTCAGGTTTTCTTGCCTTTCCTTCCTTTTTCTGTTTCGTCAGAATAAACCGGTTTAGCCACATAGGCTTGAGAGCTGCGAATTCTCTCTCTGACCTTAGAAATAAGTGCATGAATTTAACTTTGTGGAGTAAGCGAGAGGCAGACACTTCCAAATAACCAGTAGGTTCCAGTGTCTGACACTGCAACCAGTCGTGTGTGTTTGAAGAGAGGGGAGAGTGACATTGGTTCAAGCATGCCCGAACCTTCTGTTTAACTGCTGGCTTAAATCATAAACCCTAGCATATTTAACCCCCAAGTTTTAAAGAAATTACCTCTTAGAAAAAAATGGACATTTTTTATGGTCTTCAAATTGCAATTTTTAAAAATAGAGTATTTTATTAAACATTGACTTTATTTTTATAGCAGTTTTTGGATTTTAGGAAAATTGAAAAGACAGTACAGAGTTCCCATATAAAGTATCGACGACTCTTGCCCCTGTTAGCAGCATCTTGCATCAGTGTGGTGCATTTGTTGCAATTAATGGACCAATGACCATTATTACTGACCAGAGTCCTCAGTGAATTCGTATTTCCTTAGTTTTTTTTTTTTTTCTTAAAAAGCACTTTTTCTGTTTCGTGAGCCTGTCCAGGTTGCCACTTTATGTTCAGTTCTGCATCTCCTCATGTTCATTTTGGTTGTGGCAGTTTCTCAGACTTTGTTTTGATGACCTTGACAGTTTGGTCATGTAGATTGTAGATGGAATTTGTCTGAATTTTTTTTCCCTAAGACTTTGCTTCATGAGGTGTAGAGGAGGAATACCACAGAGGCAGTTTGCCGTTTTCCCCAGGTCATATCAGGGGTACACACCATCAGCATGACTTAGGGCTTGATGTTGGCCTTGGTCACCTGGATGCAAGAATGAAGGGTTCCCCCCTCTTGCATACTGTACTCTTAGAATGAAGCCACTGTGTGCAGCTCCCACCTTAGGAGTAGGAGCTGTGCTCTCCTCCTTGAGGGCTGTGTCCACATACATTATTAGGCATTATCCTGGTGGGAGATTGGTCTCCTTCTTCTCCCGTGTTTATTAACTTATTCACTCATTTATATGAGTGTGGACTCATGGGTTATAATCCCATACTGCTTTATTTTGCTAGGCGAAATGTTGTGGATGAGTCCATTGGGGTTTTTTTCAGGTTGGCTCCTATGCTTATGCTAGCATGTGTTTTCCTAGAGCCTTTTTCTGTTGAAACACTTAAGGATTGTACGACCTCACCTTGAACTTCAAACAGCCTGGTAAATTTGGCAAAACATTTTCTCCTTGTTAGTAGGCAAGGAAACTGAGGCCCAGGGGCAGTAGACGCCACTTCCTCCAAGGAGTAACAGGATGGACTCAGTTTAGCTGCCACCCCCCTCAGAAAAGAGCCTGTGGTTAGAATTGAGGTTTTGGGGAGTGACTGAGAGACACAGGCTCTCAGGATCTGAATGGAGATGACATGGAGGATGACTGGAAGCTGACTGTTGTTTTTGAAAAGAGAAGTTTGATTTAGCTAACATCCAGGATGAATTAGAACTGCCAGCTTGGTTGAAATGGAATATTAATGTCTCCCCCCCCTCCAAAAAAAAAGTTGTGTATGTAGAGAAAGGCTCAGGGAGATCTGGGTAACAGCGTTTGTGGCCGGGGAAGGGAGTGTGGTGAAAGAGCGGAGAACGGAGGAGAATCAGAGGACATGCAGTAGTCAGGTTTTATTGCTTAAATCCTGAGAGGAGCTCCCTGGAAAGAAGGATTATTTCACCTTTCAGCTTAGAGGCCTTGTAGTCCAGTGTCTAGCAAAGCCTGGCCATGGCAAAGTGGGTGGGGAGGAACTATCATATGGTGAGCCAGGAAGCAGAGAGAAGCTAGGCCCAACTTGGCTCAAAGAGCAAACTCTCTGGCAAGAAGTAGCTTCCAAGGGCATGCTCCCCAGTTACCTAAAGACCTCCCAGCAGACCCACGTCTCAGATGTCATAATTAGGTCAAGTCTGCACCCTAAATCCGTCATCAACCCGTAGCATTATTTAAACATCTGTCTGAGTTTGGGGAGCCACGTCCTGTCCAACCCACACCAGGATGACTTTGATTTCATCAATATCTGGGAACTCCACCCCCCCTACTTTGTGCCAGATCAGCGAGACGTGACCCTTAGGTTCACACTGGAGCCGTGTGAGAAGATGGATAAAAATGTCAATTCAGGAGTACCGGGATAGAGCTGTCATAGAAATACAGTGTGTGCAGAATTGCAGGAACTAACTGGGGAGGGATTCATTTAGCCCAGAGGTGGGATGGGCACAGAAAGGAGCTCAAAAATCAGGGGATGCATATGAATGGAGCCTTCAGAGAATTGTCCCAGCTGGGACAGGCCAAAACCAGGAACCTGGAACTGTATCCTGGTCTCATATGGGTGCAGGGGCTGGGGTACTTGGCCTATCATTTACTACTTTCTCAGACACATTAGCAAGAAACTGGAATGGAAGTGGAGCAGCTGGGACTTGAAATGGCACTCATATGGAATACTGGGATTACAGGCTGTGTTTAATGCACTGTGCCACAATGCTGACCTCTGTTTTTATTTGTTTATTTTATTTTATTTTTTGACAGGCAGAGTGGACAGAGAGAGAGACAGAGAGAAAGGTCTTCCTTTGCTGTTGGTTCACCCTCCAATGGCCGCCGCGGCTGGCGCGCTGTGGCCAGTGCACTGCGCTGATCTGATGGCAGGAGCCAGGTGCTTATCCTGGTCTCCCATGGGGTGCAGGGCCCAAGGACTTGGGCCATCCTCCACTGCACTCCCTGGCCACAGCAGAGAGCTGGCCTGGAAGAGGGGCAACCAGGACAGAATCCGGCACCCCCACTGGGACTAGAACCCGGTGTGCTGGCGCCGCAAGGCGGAGGATTAGCCTAGTGAGCCGTGGCGCCGGCCTTATTTGTTTATTTTTTAAAGATTTGTTTTATTTATTTGAAAGACAGAATTATAAAGAGAGAAAGAGAGAGCGAGAGAGTGAGTGAGCTTCCAAACGCTGGTTCACTCTCCAAATAGTCACAATGGCTGGAGCTGGGCTAGGCCAGAGCCAGGAGCCAGGAGCTTCTTCCAGGTCTCCCACATGGGTGCAGGGGCACAAGCACTTGGGCTGTCTTCCACTGCTTTCCCTGGTGCATTAGCAGGGAGCTGGATCAGAAGTGGAATAGCTGGGGCTCAAACCAGTGCTTATATGGGTTACATGCATCACAGGCAGCAGCTTAACCCACTGTGCCACAACACCAGCCCCCATTTTTATTCTTTTAAAAGATTTATTTATTTATTTGAAAGAATTACAGAGATAGGGAGGGAGAGAGTAAGAGAACCGCAGTACCTTTATGTTGCACATTAAATATGCTGATGCAGTTGCCAAACCTTTATTACTGTTTGTTTTGTGTGAATGGCCTGTATGTTCTCCCCACCCCTATTTCGTCATTGTGATTCTGAGGTCAGAAAGGTCAAGACTGTAGCCCTGGGCTGCAGAGTGGCTGAGTCTGGGTAAAAGTTCGGTGTCTTAGACTTAACCTAGGGCTCTTACCTTTGGGCTTTGGTTAGAATGACAGCTAAGGGTGGAAGAAGGTTCTGCTTTATTTCCTCTCTCAGAATTCCTAGGAGCTGTGGGGAGGATCCTTGTGACTGAGTGCAGGCTGGAGATGGCTGTGGCCCGGCAGGTTATATTCTACCTGTTGGGGCTGGAGATAGAACTGCCACTCAGTGTCTTCCTTTGTCTCAAGACCTCTGTCTGGATAAGCAGGCTGATTTTTCTGCACAAGCTCATTGTGTGTTCCAGCCCAGTAACCTTCAATAACCTCTGCTGTGTCAGGACTTTTTTTTTTTTTTTTTTTGTAGGTATCAGACAAGTCCAGAAAGGGTGTGTAATGGCTCATGGGACTGCAAGAATAGGGCTGGCTTCAGGCACACATTGATGCAGGCTTTCAAAAGATGTCATCAGGATCTGGTTTCTTTACGTCATCTCTCTGAGTTGCCTTCATTCTCAGACAGGCTAACCCTCTGGTTTAGCAGGCTTGCCTAGTAATGCCAAACCAAATAACCTTACTTCTTTCAAGCTTCCAAGAAACCACAAAAATCATTTCCCTCCCCGGCTGTGCCCCATGCCTCCATGTCTCAACAGAGTCTTCTTGTCATTAAGTGTAATAGTCACATTCTCTCTCCTGAGGCAGGTGGGGACTTGGGGTGGGGGTAGGTCATTGACAGGCTTAAGACTTCTCTTTTTGCTTCTCCGCTTTGAACTGGGGGAGAGCTGTGTCTTAAGCTTTCCAGAGTGGAATTGGGTAAAGTTACTAAAGGAAGGAAGGATAGAAGAAACACTTATTAGATAGAGGAAAGAGCACAGTTGTCTTCTGCTGCTGTAGAATTCCTAGGCCTGATACTGGGCCTGTCTCATGGGTTTATTTTTAGAGTTACACACACACACACACACACACACACACACACATATTCTAATTTCTCGATCATCAGATTGGTAAAAATTTTAAATGTTAATAAGAACTATTGGTGAGGCTGTGGAACAGTGTGCATACTTATAGCCTGCTGGTGGGGTGGATTTGACTGCAGTCACTTTGGAAAGAATTGGGCCTGAAACAATCAGAAGGCCATGAAAAGTAGAATGCATTAAATAATTATATAGTTATAGAACACCAATGGAAATAAACAAACAGGTTGCAATCATACAAACGAACTTCACAAACATGGTGGTGTTGGTAGCCAAACAAAAAACAGCCATGCAATGTGATCTCATTCACTTAAGGCTCAAGACCAGGAGCAGTAACCTATTGTTTACTATTGTTTATGGATACATACCTAGGTCCAAACCTAAAGAAAAGGGAAGGGGAGATTACCATTATAATTTATTCCACCATAACCATTTTCTTGGATATAGCTTTTTCTTCTCCTGGGATTCTGTCCTTGGATACTGGGACCAGATAGTGATGTACAGGCTGCTGTTCTTGGTGGTCCCAGAAGTATGAGGATATCATCTCTCTCCCTAGTAACTTAACCTCTACCTGGAGAGGATGGACAAATGGCTCTTTCAGCAGCCACTTTGGGAGCATCTTCCTTGCATCAGGTACTCTGCGTATGTGTTTCTTCTGTTTCCATAGCTAGTTTTTAATGTCTACTCCATGCTAAGCACTGTGCTAGATTCTGGGGATAAGACAGATACAGTCTTTGTCTCTTTGTCCTTGTTTGGTGGGGAAAGCTGTTGTTAAACCTGATATAAGAAGTTGGGACTTAAAATGGCAGAGAAATAGAGGGTGCAGTACTGGATGAGTTCTATGTACAAAAGAGAGAGCTCCTGTGGCCCTGGGCTCCAGGGGTCAGGAAAAATTTGCTTTCAGCTGAGACCTCAAGCTGGCAGCTGTTGGCTAAGTAGGGGAGGGAATGGTGTTCTCTGTGGGCAGAACAGGATCTTCAAAGGTAGGAAAGAGCCTGGCACTTCATTTGAGGGATGGAGAGGGGTTTTGGTTTGGCTTTGGGGTTGAGATAAGGAGTGGCAGGAAATGAGCTTGGAGGCAAAGGCTGGGCCTACATTATCTGGGCTTCTTGTAGGAAGGAAAGGCATTTTGATTTTTCCCTGGAGTTCCAGAAGCCATTGAGGGGTTCTAACCAGGGTAGTTATGTAAGCAGGTAGCAGGGTGTGTTGGAGGGACAGAAGGCTAGAGTGGCAGGAGCACTGGGGGCAAAGGGGGAAGAAGGTTTAGGGAAGCTAAAACCTGCAAGGTTTCATAATTCCCACAGTTGGATCTGCTTGCAGCCTGTGGAGGATTACTCAGTTATATTGCTGGGTATAAATTCTAGAAGGGCAGGCACTTTGCCATTTTTGCTCCTTGCTGTAACCCCAGCACCTGGCCCATAGTGGGCCGCCGTAGATACCTGTTAACTGTTGAATGAATTGCATCACTGCTGCTGAAATGCTCAGTGGCTTCCCAGGCCTGTTAAGATAAAGTCCAGAATTCTTAATGTAGCCCAGAGTCTTGTGTAATCTGTCCCTCCTGTTAACCACCCTCCTTCCTCACAAGTCCCAACAGTCTGTCCCACCCGCTCGCCGCACTGTCCCCAGCCTCAGCCAGTCATCTTTTCCTCAAGCTCACCACTGTCCTTACCCTCTGGGCAGTTGATTTCCACTGCCTTCTGAGGATCACCCTCCAGCTCACTCCCCGGCGGGAAGGAAGATTCTATTTTCCAGGCACCAAAATACAGTGTGGTGGAGTAGAGGGAGCCCCAGCTGGGAGGTACAGCTCACGAGGGCTCTGCCACTGGCAAGTCAAGCCAAGGTGTGGGCCCTCACCTTCCTCGTCTCCCTCATCTCCCTCATCAGGGGGTTCGGCTAGTGATATGCAATCCTCATTAGACATTAGAACAGCCTGGAGAGTTATTTTTAAAGTACCAAAGCCTTCAGGTTTTCTGACACAGTTGTTCCAGGTGTGTTTTGAAGCTTCTCTAGCTGACTCTTACGTGTAGTCCATGTCGCCTACCACCCTGTAGGTGCAAAAGGATTCCTTATATTCTCTGGTGCAGATGGCACTTGGGGATATTTTAGGCAAGAGAGAGATTGGTTCATTATTCATCATCTGATGAATGTCCACACAGGTACACTGACAACTCCTGACTTTTTAAACAAAATGATTTTTATTTTATTTGAAATGCAGAGAGAGAGGGGAGGAGAGAGAGGAGGGGTCTTTCATCTGCTAGTTCATTCCCCAAATGACTGCACCAGCCAAGGCCGCACCAAGCTGAAATCAGGAGCCTAGAACTCAAACCGGGTCTCTCATATGGGTGGCAAGTATCTGAGTACTTGAGCCATCGCCTGCTGCCTCTCAGGGTACACGTTATCAAGAAGTTGGGCGGAAGTGAAGGAGCTGGGACTCAAATCAGGAAGTCCAGTGTGGGATGCAGGCAGTATCTTAACAGGTATGCCAAACACTTGCCCCAGAACTCCCAACTTTGTCCCATGGCAGGGCTGTCCATTGGTCAGGCACAGGACAAGGGCACTGTCAGTTGGCTACTGCTCCTGTGCCCCTCTCGGAGCCCTGTGGAAATTTCCACTGTTCAGAGCATTTCTGGAGCCCGGCCTTGGTGGTTTGCGTGATGGGCACTGTGCTTCAAAGCACCACTGATGCTCAACCTGGTGGGTGAAAATCACACAGATGCGACCATAGTGATGCACTGTCCACAGTCACCATCACCTCCTGGGACAGCACGGCGTCCAGCCCACAGCCACATCCAGGGCAGGAAACTCTGGGGCCTCACTGGCAGTGGTGCGTTCACTCCTCTAATAAACACTTTCAGATAGTTTGCTTTTTGCCCCTGTATTCTTTCCTCTCCAGGTTGGTTAGAAGCATTGCAAAAGAGTTCACTCCTAGGAGATTAAGAAGTGAGGCTTAATCTGGGCCCCAAGAGCCTTTAATCAGGGTTTCCCTCAAGACATGGAGCCTGAGGCGGAGTGCTTTGGAATTATAGGAAGAAGGGGTTCTTGTTTGGAAGTCCAGGTAGGTGCTTGAGGCATTTGAGGGGTCCCTGAACTGGTAGCCTGGAGGCCAGGGTACAAACCCAGGCCCTTCTGCTCTTTTCTGAGCCTCTGGAGTCCACATTTGGGATTCAGTGTCTTCTAGGGTAACTCTCTGTGGCTTCTAGGAGCCGGAGACGGGGGAGGCAGGGAGGCAAGTACTGATGTGGGGTTGCAGAGGCCACAGAACATGGAGGGGGGTAGTTATGCATGCAGAAGCAGCAGTTGGCTGCTATTGTGAAACCAGGGGCCAGAGTTCAGATCCTTTTCCTCCTGAACTGGGTCAGGGGTAGAGGTGGGGGTATGAATGTTCACAGCAGTGCCGTCCTCAGCTCATTTTCGCAGCTCATGGGGATTCTCACAGCCAAAAGTCGTGCAGGGCATCAGCGTCCTGAAAGGTACCTACCGCTGGAAGTTGCACAGTGTCATCCCTGCCAGTCTGTTGCCATTTGCAGATTAGCTATCATGAGATCCAGAGACTTGCAGGGCTAAGGTAGGTTGCAGGAAAGGGGATCTCAGAGAAAGTCTGGAGTCCCTCCAGTTCTGCCCGTGAGGAGGGTGCCAGGATGCTGTGGGGCTTGTAGTGTGGAGCATCTTCCTGTCACAGCTAGCTTCTGGCTTATTGAAAGGACAGAGGAGGCCCCTCACCCCGACCTCTGGAGCAAAGGTGTGTGACTTGTGGTATCAGGTAATCCGTGAGGTGCTTTCATGAGTTCAGCACTCTCATTTGGGTTAAGAGAATGGGAGTGTGCCACATCCTCTCAGGTTTTTTCTAGTTCTTTTATAGTTTCTATCTGCCCAAAAACCAGGGATGGACTTACAATCCCTTATTATTGAAACCTGCTGAGCTAATCAGAGAAGGCATACATGAGAAAGAGTATCTCATAGAGGAGTGTGGGAAGTTGGGGGATAGGTCTCAGAGAGGGTGAATTTTGCATTGATTTAATAGAAGAGTGTGGAGAAAGGGAACAGCCTGGTTTGCCCATGTTGCTCCCATTCAACCCCATTTCTGGTCATTCTGAAACCCGGAGATCCTCCTTCCACCTCTGAAAGGAGAAACCTTGTTGGACAGGGAAGCCTTGCTGCTCGCCCACATGTTAAGGTTTGCTCTAGTGAAGGCAGAATCCTTTTCTTCTGTCAGCACAACTCAGCTTACAGGGCCCTTCCGTGTAGATGACCTCACTGAGGCTTCCAGCAAAGGAGTTGATATTTGGCTCCTTTCTACAGTGCGCTCAGGTGAGGAAGAGAGTGTAATGGACTGGCTGAGGCATTGCCACCAGGCACTGCTGCCTCCCCTTGTGCTCCTGGGCAAGGCAGGTGACCCTGTGGAGCCCGGGTTTCCTCAGAAGAGTATCCTGAGCACAAAACATCTTCAGATGTGCAAATGGCAGATGTGGTGAGTCCATTGTCATTGACTGGAGAGTCAAATGCCATTGCCAGGAGTAGGTGTTTGGTGCAGTGGTTAAGCTACTGCTTGGAACACCCACATCCTGCATGGGGATGCCTGGGTCTGAGTCCTGGTTTCACTTTTGTCATTTTCTGCTAATGTGCCCCCTGGGAGGCAGCAAGTGAAGACTCAAGTGATTGGGTTCCTGCCACCCACAAAGAAGACCAAAATTGAGTTCCTGGCTCTTGGCAACAGCCCTGGCTGTTGTAGTAATTTGGGGTATGAACCAGCAGGTGGAAAATCAATCTCTCTCCCTCTCTCTGACTCCATCTCTGCCTTTCAACTAAATAAAAACTTAAAAATGCCCTTGCCAATTTTTTGGTCACCCAGTTACTGTGTTTCAGAGTACCGACTTGAACTTGGGTTGTTCAACCTGTGCATTTACACTTGGCATCTTTTTTTTTTTTTTTTAAAGATTTATTTATTTATTTGAAAGTCAGAGTTACACAGAGAGAGAAGGAGAAGCAGAGAGAGAGAGAGAGAGGTCTTCCATCCGATGGTTCACTCCCCAGTTGGCTGCAGTGGCTGGAGTTGCACTGATCCAAAACCAGGAGCCAGGAGTTTCTTCCAGATCTCCCCTGCAAGTGCAGGGGCCCAAGGACTTGGGCCATCTTCCACTGCTTTCCTAGGCCATAGCAGAGAGCTGGATCGGTGGTGGGGCAGCCAGGTCTCGAACCGGCGCCCATATGGGATGCCAGTGCTTCAGGCCAGGGCATTAACTGGCTGCACCACAGCACCAGCCCTACACTTGGCATCTTATATGTATTCAGCATACACATATGCAAGTGCTATGGGAAGACACCTTTCAATATACCTGCTGTATTATGTTCAAGGTAGAGTTTGAATATCCAAGCAGTGGGATGGAACAAAGAAGTAGTTCTCTGTTTAGTTGGGAAGGAGTCTCAAAAACAAATGGTTGTATAAAATTAACATTGTTTTCAGTTTATTTGAGTGCAAGCATTTGTTCAGCACGTGTGTATTGAGATTCTACAAGGTGGCTAGCATCTTGATCTCTGTGTCAGTGATTTAAACATTTTTGGTGGTTACAGACCCTTTTCAGAATGTGATAACTCTTAGCCCCTCTCTCCAGAAAATTTTTAACTTTTTCTTTTATTTGGCTGGACCATTTCAAATTAAGTTGTAGTAATGATTTTTTAAATATTGCAGCATCCATTGCCTAAAGATATAGCTATTCTTGTGCAAATCCTCAATCTATAACATTAAGGAAATAATCTTAATATGTGTGCTACCCAATCTTATTTTTAAAAAGATGTATTTATTTATTTGAAAGATTGTCAGAGAGATAGTGAGAGACAGAGACAGAGAGGGAGAGAGATCATCCATCTGCTGGTTTACTCCCCAGACAACCACAACAGCTGAAGCTGGGCCAGGCTTGAAGCTAGGAGCTGTGGACTCCATCTGGGTCTCCTGCATGGGTGGTCAAGTACATAAGCCATTACTTGATAACTACGAGGGTGTACATCATCAAGAAACTGGATTAGAAACAGAGGTGTTGGGACTTGAACCAGCCACTTCAGTGTGGGCATCCCAAGCATCAACTTAGCTCCTGTTGCGAATGCCCGCCCCCTTTTTGTGTTTTAAACAGCGTCCAGTCAAGGGTCACACATGTGTTTGGTTATTTCTGTTACAACATTGACTCTTTAATGACCAAGCCATTTGACTTGTGGAATGTCCCACATTCTGAATTTCTCTAATTGTTTCTTCATGTTGTAGTTCAATACTTCTGTTAGTACTTTTTTCCCATGTGATATATGGCCAAGTATTTCTTTATCCCTTATATTTTCTGTAAACTGGAAGTTAGATTTAAAAAGCTTGATTAGATTTGTTGAGGTCAGCTATTTTTGGCAAGGATACTTCAGAGGTGACATTGTGTTATTTGTAAGATGCCAGTTTGCCACTGTTGGTGATGCTGGCTTTGGTCACTTGGTTAAGATGACTTTCAGATCTCTTTCTCATCAAAGCACACACGAAAGTAATGCATCGGATGGTAGTATGGTACTGTCTTGTCACCCAAGTGTTTCACCTGGTGGTTTTAGCATCCTTGGGTTATGTAATGGCAGTTGCAAATGGTGATTTTCTTATACCATGTCCTTCCTCTACTTACTTATGGCCTGTGATCCCTAGCCAGTTCTATTTACTTAGTGCATACACTGTAGTCTAGATACAGTTTTAGGAGGTTTGCCATCCAGCAAAGCCCAGCATGAGCCTGGGTCAACATCAGCTCCAAGTGATGGAAAGTGTCATATTTATGGGTCAGGGGACATGTAGCTGAGCTTTTCATGGTCCTTTTCCATACCCAGTAAACTGTCCAACTACAGAGATAACACAGACTGTCCTCCAACAACAAAAAAAAGCAGTCTCAGCTTTTAAACTTCCAGGTCATTCAACCAAGTTGAATGATGAAGTGGAGAGCGTGATAAAGCACTCCACAGCCCACAGGAATCACCCAGTCCATTCCCTCCCCCTCTCCTGACCCTTTGTAGTCTGTTACATTGCAAGAGGGCTGGACCAGAGCTGGACCAGGCAATTCCTCACATTTCTGCCAGCCTCACTAACATTCCTGGAATTTGTATCACCTCATTTGCTAGTTAAATTCTTGATCCCTTTATTTGAGCTTTGTATGTATGTGTTTTTTGTCACTTGTTAACTCTTTTAAAGTCACACATATCTAAATCCATTAGTGCTTCCCATTGAAGTTTATTTCAACAGTATAATCTCTTTCATTTGTATAGTACTGTAGTACTTTCACTTGATAAAGCACTGGTTTTTTTTTTTCTTCATTTTATTTGAAGGGCAGAGAGACAGATCATAAACCTGCTAGTTCACTCCCCAAATGCCCACCACAGTCACGGCTGTTTTGGCTGGGCCAAAGCCAGACTCTTAGAACTCAGTCCAGATCTTCACATGGGTGGCAGGGACCCAAGTACTTGAGCCATCATTTGTTGCCTCCCAGGGTGCACACTAGTAGGAAACTGAATCAGAAGTGGAGGAGCTTGGACTCCAAAGTGGGTGCCAGCTTCCCCAGCTGCAGTTTTAATTGCTGCACCAAATGCCCACCCTGTGGAAGCACTCTTTATGTATTATTGCCTTAGATTTGCTTTCTCTTTGAGTCTTAGGCACAGGGGGTTTTGTTCCTATTGCATTAGTGTCACTACTGACAGAAGCCACTGAACTCTGTCGGGCTGGACTCTGACCGCATGCAGTCAGTAGCAGCGTTGATTTGCCCGTGGTTCCAGCTGCTTCAGGCGAGCCTCTCAGCTACCTCTGTGCCTGCTGGCTGTCTTCCCAGCGGCTGCGCTCCTTGCTCCCCAGAATCGGCAGCAGAGACTCCGTTCACTTTAATTCTGGAACACATGTGGCACCGTCACTCATTTTGCTCCCTTCCTCTCTTGCTGCCACTTTCAATTTCAACTCTTCCTCTCTCTGTAGTTTGAACACTCACTGAATGCTCTTGTCTAGATTTCCTTCTGTGCATTAGGCTTGTGCTTAGTACTTCCTAACATAATTCTTTCACATAACCTTTTAGAAAACCTTGTAGGTAAGCGTGACTCTGCCCATTTTACAGATGGGTAACTGGAGGCCCAGAGTGTTTAGATGGTTCCCCTGTTGTCACAGAGACAGTGACAGGAAGCAGCTGTTGTGCTAAGGCCCATAGCCTCAGATAAGTGCTGAGCCAGGCTGCAGAGGGGAACAGGGGCAGAGTCCTTTGTGTGCTGACCTTGCATGCTTCCTGGAAGCACAGAGTGCCACGTCCACTTGAGGATTCCTTCCCTACAGTTTCCTTCGTGAGCTCAGCTTAGCAACAAAGCACAGGCCAGCTGCTCGGGGGAGTCACAGCTAAGAATGAGCCCAGTGTGGCCAGGCTGTGCGCCACTGGCTGGCTGAGGGCTGATAGAGCCCAGCTTCTGTGGGAAAGTGAACCAAGCCCACACCACAGAGCAGCCGGGGTAGGTACTCCTAAAGGGAGGCATTCGCACTCAGGCTCTCAGTGCTTCCCTAGGCTTCTTAAGTTGGGGAAATAACCTCAGTTCTCTTACTCATTCCAACCTGAAACCTAGAGGGACAAACAAAAGGGATCTCCTGGTGCTGTCAGGACCCCGTGAACGCACTGCATGACTGAGGGAGCGCCCTGTGGTGGTCCACATTGCTCACTGTGTTTATTTTAACAGTTTTCCAGCAGGTGGCGACTGATTTATTCTATCACAGTTGGTGCATTCAGGCTGGAAGGAAAGGGTCTTGAGGCACGAGTGCTTTTGCGACAGCAGGGAATGGGCTGGTGGCAGCTTTGCTTTCCACTCTGCCGAGCTGCTCCTGGGCCTCAGTCTCCTCGCCTGAAAAATGAGGAGGTGACAACAGGGAAGTAGGGTCCCTGGTTTTTTTTTTTTTTTTTTTTTGACAGGCAGCGTGGACAGTGAGAGAGAGAGACAGAGAGAAAGGTCTTCCTTTTCCATAGGTTCACCCTCCAATGGCCACCGAGGCCGGTGCGCTGCGCTGATCCAAAGGCAGGAGCCAGGTGCTTATCCTGGTCTCCCATGGGGTGCAGGGCCCAAGCACTTGGGCCATCCTCCACTGCACTCCTTGGCCACAGCAGAGAGCTGGCCTGGAAGAGGGGCAACCGGGACAGAATCTGGCGCCCCGACCGGGACTAGAACCTGGTGTGCCGGCACCGCTAGGCAGAGGATTAGCCTATTGAGCCGTGGTGCCAGCGGTCCCTCTTTTTTTAAGATTTATTTATTTATTTGAAAGAGTTACACAGAGAAGGAAAGGCAGAGAGAGAGAGAGAGAGGTCTTCCAACCACTGGTTCACTCCCCAATTGGCTACAATGGCTGGAGCTGCGCCAATCCGAAGTCAGGAGCCAGGAGCTTCTTCCGGGTCTCCCATGTGGGTGCAGGGGCCCAAGGACTTGGGCCATCTTCTGCTGCTTTCCCAGGCCATAGCAGAGAGCCGGATCAGAAGTGGAGCAGCGGGATTTGAACTGGTGCCCATATGGGATGCTGGCTCTGCAGGCAGTGGCTTTACCTGCTATACCACAGCACCGGCCGAAGCAAGATCCCTCTTGGCAGACCTTGTAGGAGCCCTGTAGGATTGATGTGCTGATTGAGTGCTGGAGTTTGCAGCCCTGTGCAGAGCTGCCACCTCTGCCCCTTTGCTGTGTTTGCTGTTAACCCCATGTCTGGTCTCCAAAGGGGAGAAGTCTCCAGCGGTGAACAGAGAGCCCGGTGAGCTGAGGGCACCATGGCCACGTCAGCCCCACTGCGGAGCCTGGAAGAGGAGGTGACCTGCTCCATTTGCCTTGATTACCTGCGGGACCCTGTGACCATCGACTGTGGCCACGTCTTCTGCCGCAGCTGCACCACCGACGTCCGCCCTGTGTCCGGGGGCCGCCCCGTCTGCCCGCTCTGCAAGAAGCCTTTCAAGAAGGAGAACATCCGGCCTGTGTGGCAGCTGGCCAGCCTGGTGGAGAACATCGAGCGGCTGAAGGTCGACAAGGGCCAGCAGCCGGGAGAGGGGGCCCAGGAGCAGCAGGACACACGGCTGTGCGAGCGGCACCAGGAGAAGCTGCACTACTACTGTGAGGACGACGGCAAGCTGCTGTGCGTGATGTGCCGGGAGTCCCGAGAGCACCGGCCCCACACGGCCGTCCTCGTGGAAAAGGCTGCCTTGCCCCACAGGGTAAGCCCTCCCCCACGGAGGGTGCCCTGTGCCTGCCTTAGGTCTCCTGGCCTGCAGCCCACCACAGGGTAGGAGGCCTGGCTGGGACCCCTCGGAAGGGTTCTAGCTGTCCGAGGACCAAGCCTCCTGGGTCCACCCTCCTGCCCCGCCCCGGAGAGTCCACCTGTCTCCACTGCTTGTCTGTCCACAGGAGAAAATCCTGAACCACCTGAGCACACTAAGGAGAGACAGAGACAAAATTCAAGGCTTTCAGGCGAAGGGAGAAGCCGATATCCTGGCTGCATTGGTAAGTGAGGCTGGCGGAGGAAGCCTTGAGACTGCGAGTGGATGGCGGCTGAGAGGTATTTCCAGGAACAGCGTGGGTGAGGACAGGCATCGGGTAGCAGCTGCAGGCCTGGGCATTAGCCCTGGTTCTGTCTGAGCTGGTGCCTCAGGCCTTGTGCCTGTTTCTCATCTGAAAGGTGAGTGGACTGCCCTCCTGCGTGACCCTCACATCAGCTGCAAGTGCACATCTCCTGCCAGGGGGCTGAGGCCCGCTTGATGGCATTCTTCCTTTTGGCTGGGGGTGGGAGTGGGGTCAGGGTGTGAGAAGACATGTTTTGCCGAAAGGGGAGGGGAGCGGGTCCGAGTAAGAATGAGAGGGAAAGGTTAAGGCCTGGCCGGCTTTGGTGATGTTGTGTCCAGTGAATGCCTGTGACAGCCAGCGGTTAGAAAACAGTGCATTCTGTGCTTGATTGGAGATAGGATGAGGAAGGAGCAAACGGATAAGGTGGTTCCAGTTTTCTGAGGGAGCGTGTGTGTGGGGAGGTGAGCAGTGGAGGGATGCTGGGGTAAGCCCCGCTCTAGGAGAGGAAGAGTGTAAAGCCACAGAGAATACCCCAGCCCTCACTGTGCACGGACGCCTCCAGCCCTGCATTGGGCAGCAGACCCCCGTCCTGAGGGGACAGCGAGGTTTGGAAGTCAGAAAGGATGTGATGAGTGAGCACGGACTCTCTGGTTGCACTGAGGAAATGGCATTGTCCTGCGTGGCGGGGAGGGGTGCACGTAGATATTCCACACGTGAGCGCAGGCTGCTGCTGAAGACGGGATTGATCTGGCTTGGCTGACACTGATCAAGCAAAGCTCCCTGGAAGAGGCAACATAGAGATTTTTGTCCAGGAGGAAAAGGTGAAACAGCCACAAGTGAGGCCCGAGGGTTCCTTCAAGGGCCCCTGGATGCTGTTTACCTGGAACAGGTGATGGCTGGCTAGTGAGGCGGAGTTGGGTGCTGGTTGCAGTGGCTGAGTGACCTGCACTGATTCACCACTGGTGTCTTCTTTGAGATGAGAAGGGCAGACCAGGAGCTCCCCTTAGATTCTCCCACCGCAAATGCTGTAGAATTCGTGAGTAGGGAGTAGGGGAAGAGCCAGCCTGGAGTGCCTCTAGTGCCGGACCCCAGAGGGGTCCCCACCCTGAGGCAGAGATGTCCCTGCCCCTCCCCCCTGCCCGCTGCAGAAGAAGCTGCAGGACCAGAGGAAGTACATCGTGGCGGAGTTTGAGCAGGGCCAGCAGTTCCTGAAGGAGCGGGAGCAGCACCTGCTGGAGCAGCTGGCGAAGCTGGAGCAGGAGCTCGTGGAGGGCCGGGAGAAGTACAAGACCCGGGGCGTCGGGGAGCTCGCCCGCCTGGCGCTGGTCATCTCGGAGCTGGAAGGCAAGGCACGGCAGCCGGCAGCAGAGCTCATGCAGGTGAGGGAGAAGCCCAGGGCAGGTTTGGGAGTCACCTCCACTCAGGGCCTCATCTGAAACATGAGGGTGGTGCCCCTACCCTCCTCTCTCGTGCCAAGGGTTACATGAGCTTAAAATTGGATAAGTTCAAAAAATAAAGGCTCTACCAAAAAAATTTTTTTTTTTTTTTTTGATAGGCAGAGTGGACAGTGAGAGAGAGAGACAGAGAGAAAGGTCTTCCTTTTGCCGTTGGTTCACCCTCCAATGGCCGCCGCGGCCGGCGCACTGCGCTGATCCGATGGCAGGAGCCAGGAGCCAGGTGCTTTTCCTGGTCTCCCATGGGGTGCAGGGCCCAAGCACCTGGGCCATCCTCCACTGCACTCCCGGGCCACAGCAGAGAGCTGGCCTGGAAGAGGGGCAACCGGGACAGAATCCGGCGCCCCGACCGGGACTAGAACCCGGTGTGCCAGCGCCGCTAGGCGGAGGATTAGCCTAGTGAGCCGCGGCGCCAGCCCCAAAAAATGTTTTAAAAAATTAAAAGTACTGTAGAAATGGGAAGGGCGGTTGTTACGGGCCTGCGTCCTCATCGCTACCATCACAAGCCCTTTTTGCAGCAGTCCCTGCAGACACCTGTTGAATGGGGGCTTCTCACGGTTCTGGAAATGAAGAAAGGCGTCCTGGCTGGGGGAGGGCTCACCGGTGCCTCTGTCATGGCCATGAAGGGTGTGGAGGAGACAGGCTACTGGGAAAAGGAGGCAGAGGTGCTGAGACTTTCTCTGGGATCAGAGAACAATGTGGAGAGCAGATGAGGTGCCCTGGGAAAGCTTCCTGAAGGAAGTGCCTTTGACACCGAGAAATCGAGAGTTGTAGACAGAGAGCTGGTTACCAAGTAGGAATGCTGTCACGGGGCAGTGCCGGCCCCATGACATCTGCTGCGCCGGCATCCCATATGGGTGCCAGGTTCTAGTCCAGGTTGTTCCTCTTCCAATCCAGCTCTCTGCTGTGGCCCAGGAGGGCAGTGGAGGTGCCAGGTGCTTGGGCCCATGCACCCGCATGGGAGACCAGGAGGAAGCACCTGGCTCCTGGCTTCGGATTGGCACAGCGCCGGCCGTAGTGGCCATTTGGGGGGTGAACCAACAGAAGGAAGACAGAGGTCTCTCTCTCACTGTCTATAACTCTACCTGTCAAATTAAAAAAAAAAGGAATGGTGTCACATCTTCCTGCCGGCACCTGGTAACCTGGTAGAGGAGTCTCCACCTTGAACAGGGCTCATCAGCCCTTGGAAGGAGAGAGGACTCCTTCCACCCTCATGGGCAGGGAGAGGGGCTATGTGATGGTCTCCCCTGCTTGCATGGTCTAGAGTGGCCGGGACTGGCTGTTGGCGGGGCGGTTCTGTAGCCAGGAGGAGCAAGGGCAAGACAAGTTCCCCAGTGTTTGTGCTGGCTCATGTTGTGGGAAGAGGCGGCTCTGCTTGCCTCTCCCTGTTGTGGGTTCAGACACACTGAATGAGGACTGGCAGGGATTTTGGACTCTTCCAGTCCGTGCCTGCTGTTGCCGTGGTCCAGAGGCAGGAGAAGCTTGCCGCAGGCCATGGGGCGGGTCAGGAGTCAGGTCAGAGCCTGAGCCCAGGTGTCCTGGTTCCTGTGCTTTGCTCTCTCCTCTTGTTGTGTCCACAGTGTCTCTCTGCCACCTCTTGCCCTCCCATTCTCATTATGTGGGACACAAGCTGCCTCTCCCCTTGTCCCTGTGCCTCTTCTTCCCTCTCAGGGACCATCCGTCGTTCCCCACGGCCACTGCTGCCATGTGCGAGTATGCGACTGGGCATACTGGTGGGCGCTGAAACCACGAGTCTGCCTAATCCACCCACGGGAGCCCCCCTTGAGGCAGAGGCCCTGCCTTAATGACTCACGGCTCTCAAATTGAAGCACTCCCTGAATGGGGTGGGCTGGGGGAAGGGAGAGAGAGAGGGGTACCCCTGAAACCAGTGCATGAAATCTTGCTACAGGTAGGGTTTTTTATAATGGTAATTTTTATTTATTTGAAAGTCAGTTACACAGAGAAAGAAGGAGAGGCAGAGAGAGAGAAATCTTCCATCTGTTGGCTTACTCACCAGTTGGCCGCAACGGCTGGAGCTGAGCCGATCCGAAGCCGGGAGCCAGGAGCTTCTTCCAGGTCTCCCATGTGGGTGTAGGGGCCCAACGACTTGGGCCATCTTCTGCTGCTTGTCTAGGCCATAACAGAGAGCTAGATCAGAAGTAGAGTAGCTGGGACTTGAACTGGTGCCTATATGGGATGCCAGCACTGCAGGCAGTGGCCTTACCTGCTGTATCACAGCACCAGCCCCTACAGGTAGGTTTTATGTGTGGGTTTGTGTGTTGATTTTGCTGTAAGGGAATTAGACAGCTAAATCCTTAATTACCATTAAGATTTTCTGAGGGATTATTTGAATATCAAAAGACAATTATAAAGGACCCCCCCCCCCCAGTAGGATCCAACAGCAGCAGAGGACTGCACGTGAGAGGGGGAAGCAGCAGGACAGATGTGTGGAAAAGACCTTTGGCAAAGGTGATGGCAGGGGCAGGTGGGTTAAGCCGCTGCTCTGGACACCTGCAGCCCATATCAGAGTGCTCGTTTGAGTCCCAGTTACTCTGCTTCTGATCCAACTCCATGCTAATGCACCTGGGACGCAGCAGATGCTGCCCCAAGAACCTGAAACCCTGCCTCCCACATGGGAGATCTGGATGGAGTCCTCGCTACTGGCTTTTGGCCTGGTCCAGCCCCCACTGTTGTGGCCACTGGGTGAATGAACCAGTGGATGGAAGACCTCTGTCTCTGTCTCTTTTTCTCTGTCACTCTGCCTTCCAAGTAAATAAATAAAATAAAAAGTTTTTCAAAAGATGACATCAAAGGTAGGGCAGAAATCTGGACTGGGAACACCCAGAAGATGCTAAAGGGGAACAGGCAAGTCCCAGAAGATACCAGTGACCTTCTCAGGCTAGTCCTGGGTGGGCCCTGCAGGGTCCCGTGGCACTGGCAGGTCTGCACCTCTGCCTGTCCCGCTGCTGGTTGCTGTCTGTACGGACACCTGTGAAGAACCTCCTGGGTGCTCCCTCTGCTGATGACCAACTGCCCCAGGCTGGAGACTGCTGGGGTTCGGAGCCTCACCCTCACTGCCTGTCTCACCATGGCCCCAGGCATCTCAGGGGTGAGGGAAGTCGTTCTGGAGGTCATGTGTGTGACTGCAGGCCGGGACCCCAGGCTTCCTGTCCCCCTCTTGGTGCTCACAGGGCCACCCTCCCTGGACTGCTCACTGCATTTAACCCCTAGACAGGCCCTCCTGTATTATCCTCTCCTTTTCTGCTGTTCCAGCAATGACCCTCATGTCACAAAATGTGCCTGCGTGGCCGCCTACTCTGCATGCCAGCTGTTGCCCCATCCCTTTGCTTCCTCACGCCACTGTTCTCAGCAGAGTGGTCGTTACGTGCTGCCAGTCTTATCTCACTCTCTGCACCTGCCTTGGACTTACTAGAACTCTCTGAAAAGCTCATGAAAAAGTATTTAGTATGGAAAAAACTCTGCAGGGATTCCACAGTTTCTTAGCACCAGAATAAGCCTGTCTTTGAATTTCATTTTCTATGAACTTTCTGAAGTGCCCTTGTGTTTGTCTCGAGAGACAGGTTAGGGGTTTGCCAGAAACTTGCAACCCACGCTGGGCAGCAGCTTCGTAGTAGGAACCTGGGTGTGGCTGTAGCTTCTTGTCTTGTCTTCCCTGGAGCAGAACCCACAGTTCTGGAACTTTGTGACACAGCAGCAGCCACCCCCTGGTGGATCCATTTGTGTCCCAGACATCACGCTCTCAGGAAAGCCTCCTGCCCCCTGCCCTGTTCCCCTGCACTCTGCTCTCTTTTGTCCGTAATGCAGATCGCTGACTGACGCGGTGTGCTGTTTATTGCTTGCTTCCCTTGCTAGGATGCCAGCTCCCGTGGCTGGGGACTTGTGCCCTTTCTTTACTGCGCTCTTCCAGCCTTCTAGAACAGTGCCGGGTACCTAGGGAGCACTTAATGAAAACCTGGAGAAGCAAAGGAAGGTAAAAAATCAGTTAGTACAGAGTTTATGGAGGCTTCAGACTCAGAAAAAGATCTGAGCTGTGTCTGACAAGGATGCCCTTCCCATCACCCTGTCCTGCCACCTGTCTCCCGTCACCCAGACAGCAGCACCTGACTGGTGTGCGCAGCTGAGTCTTTGTCTCCACTGCCGCCGCCCTCATTCAGGTCATCTTTGTCTTTCCCCTGGCCCATAGCAACAGTCCTCGGACTGCTTCCCAGCATCCCCTGTGCCTCCGTAAGCCATTCTTACAGGTGACTCAAGCAAGACGGACGTTTGCTTCTGTCTCAGTGTCTCTTGAGCTGTCAGAGTGGCTGTCTCTGAAGGCATCCAGGGAGTTGTCTGCCTCCCATCTGGTTGTTCCTTCTGCTAGGGATGTCCTCAGCTGTGTGGTCCCAGATGAGTTCACTGTTCATGTCCAAAATTCAGGCAGGGGGAAAAGAGGAAGTAAAGAATTTTTTATTGACACAGAATTTGTACATGTTTTATTGGGAACAGTAAAGTGTGATGCAGGTATGCAATGCGTAATGATCAAATCAGGGTCATTAGCATTTCATCTGCATTTCTGCATGTTGGGAGCCTTCAGGATCTTCTAGTTATTTGGAAATATAGATTGCTGTAGGCTGAGGTTGCCCTGCTGGCTGCGGAAGCAGTTTTACTTCTTTGAAGGACAAGACCCAGGCTATTGCCTGGAACTTTGTCACATGACCAGATCTGGTCACAGAGACTTAGGGAAATGCAGTCTTCCTGGGTGGTCGTTGCCCAGCTATAACCCCAGGGGTTCTAGTATTAAAGGGATTAAGGGGGGCTGGCACTGTGGTGCAGTGTGTTAAAGCCCTAGCCTACAGCACCAGCATCCCATATGGGCGCTGGTTCGAGTCCCAGCTGCTCCACTTCTGACCCAGCTCTCTGCTATGGCCTGGGAAAGTAGTGGAAGGTGGCATAGGTGGTTGGGCCCTTGCACCTGCCTGGGACACCTGGAAGAAGCTCCTGGCTCCTGGCTTCAGATTGGCTCAGCTCTGGCCTTTGTGGCCATTTGGGGAGTGAACCAGTGAATGGAAGACCTCTATCTCTCTTTCTCTACCTCTCTCTCTCTCTCTTTCAAAATAAATAAAATAAATCTTAAAAAAAAAAAAAAAAAGGAAGAAGAGAGGCTGGCATCATGGTACAGCTGGTTTAGAGGCTGCTTGTGAAACCAGCATCCTATCTGGGCTCCGCTTCTGATTCCTGCTATTGCACTTGGGAAAGCAATGGAAAATGGCCCATGTCCTTGGGCCCCTGCACCCACATGGGAGATCAGGATGGGGTTCCAGGCTCCTGGTTTTGGCCTGGCCTGGTCCTGGCTATTGCGGCCATTTGGGGAGTACACCAGTGGATGGAAGAGCTGTTTCTTCCTCTCTCTAACTCTGCTTTCCAATTAAGTAAAGAAATCTTGAAAAAGAAGGGGGGCGGTGAGGAAGGGATCCCGGAGAACACTTGGCAGTCTCGGCCACCTGTTAAGCAGGTCACGTGAGTCATTCCCTCCTGGCAACCGTTTGGGTCTCTTCCTTGTACACGGAACAGAATTGGAGCTTCCTGCCACCCCTCTGAGCTGGCTCTGTCATTCCCTGTGTCCAGTTGCTACTGTCCTTGTGGCTACTTTGTTTTCTGGTTGTTTTATCCAATGCCTCAGCTTGAATATCAGCTCTGTGAGGAAGGGCCGACATTTGCTCTGTGCTCGCCTATACCGCTGGGTATGGAGAAATGAAGTCTTACTCCATTCATTTCATGCTGCGCTTTCTTCCCTTACAGGACACCAGAGACTTCCTGAACAGGTAAGAGTTTCCTTTGCACTGTGTACGTCACTCCTCCATGTCCGTGTCCCTTCCCCTTTAATGCCACAATGTCCATTTGGATTAACGGGGAGTGATATGGTTCATGGCCTGTGGTTTGTTCTGGTGACCATCCGGGTACGGGAGTGCATCCCTGGGGACTGGACACCTGCTCTGCACCTGTGTGCATTCTCTGTGTGATCTCAGCACTTGGCCTGCACCCTTTTCCTGAGGCAGCACAGAATGGAGACAGTGGGAGCCTGGTGTGGACTCCGGCTGTGGGGTCTGCCTGTGGCCTTGAGGCCTGGCTCAGATAGTGTCCTTGGGCTCCTGTTTTTCTCTCTGTTGGTTGAGGATCATCAGACCTTTCCTGCCTCCTTCCTAACTGTCGTGAGGATTGAGAGGAGAGCGAGAGGGCTGAATGCCAGCCGGGGGGTTACACCTGTCCTTCCAGGTATCCACGGAAGAAGTTCTGGATTGGGAAACCCATTGCCCGGGTGGTTAAGAAAAGGACTGGCGAATTCTCAGACAAGCTCCTGTCTCTGCAGCGAGGCCTGAGGGAATTCCAAGGTAGGGGCAGGGGAGAGTGCTGGGGAGGAGGTAGGAGCCGGGGGCGCCACCTGGAGAGTGCCCCGCTCCTGCTGCCATCTCTAGCCCCTTCCTCCACAGTCTGCTGCTTGTTGTCTGTCTGTGTGGGGTCTCAGGGATGTGGCCCTGTCGTGAAGCTAATGGGGCCCGAGTGAGAAATGGGCCCAGGACTGTGCTGAGCTGAGGGTCACTGCTGTCCTTCTGCTCCACAGGGAAGCTGCTGAGAGACTTGGAGTATAAGACAGGTGAGTGTCCAGACGTGGTTCCCAGGGAGCGTCTGGCTTCCCTTCGGTCCTGGGGCAGCCCCTTCTCTCGTGATAGGGAGAACTTCCCAGTGGGTGACCTAAGGCCACCCTCTCCTTCCCCTTGCATTGTTCTGTTTTTTTTAGATTTATTTATTTGTAAGGTAGAGTTCCAGAGAGGCAGAGGCAGAGAGAGATAGAGAAAGAGAGGGTGGGGGAGAGACTTAGGCAGAGAGAGACAGAGAGAGAGAGAGAGAGAGAGAGGTCTTCCATCCACTGGTTCACTCCCCAGATGGCTGCAACGGCTGGAGCTGAGCCGATCCGAAGCCAGGAGCCAGGAGCTTCTTCCAGGTCTCCCTTGTGGGTGCAGGGGCCCAAGGACTTGGGCCATCTTCTACTGCTTTCCCAGGCCATAGCAGAGAGCTGGATTGGAAGTGGAGCAGCCGGGACCTGAACTGGTACCCATATGGGATGCCAGCACTGCAGGCGGCGGCTTTACCTGCTATGCCACAGCACCGGCCCCTCCTTAGTCAGCAGGGGAGGCCTCCACGTGATAGCCGGCCCTTCTCTGCCCCAGTGTGGTTACTGTGTTCTCACGGATCATACCCCAACCTGTGCCCTCGCCTGAGTTCATTCTCATCTGCCCGACCAAGCAGCTCCTGTGCTCCGAGGAAGCATCAGGGCCACCCCCTAGGGCAGCGGTGTCTCCACCTCATCCCCCACTGCTGTGTACACTGCAAACCCACAGGGCACTGTTCAGCTGGACCAGGAGGTGAATTGCGCCCCTCGGATTGTGTGGCGTGGCAGGCCTGCCGTGGACACAGTGACGCTGTTACTTGTCCCCTTGTCCCCACAGTGAGCGTCACACTGGACCCACAGTCAGCCAGCGGCTACCTGCAGCTGTCAGAGGACTGGAAGTGTGTGACCTACAGCAGCTTGTACCAGAGTGCCTACTTGTACCCCCAGCAGTTTGACTGTGAGCCAGGGGTGCTGGGCAGTAAGGGCTTCACCTGGGGCAAGGTCTACTGGGAAGTGGAGGTGGAGAGGGAGGGCTGGTCTGAGGACGAAGAGGAGGGCGACGAGGAAGAAGAGGGAGAGGAGGAGGAAGAGGAGGAGGAGGCTGGCTATGGGGACGGCTACGAGGACTGGGAAACCGACGAGGACGAGGAGTCCCTGGGTGAGGAGGAAGAGGAGGAGGAGGAGGAGGACGAGGAAGTTGTGGAGAGCTGCATGGTGGGAGTGGCCAGAGACTCTGTGAAGAGGAAAGGGGACCTCTCCCTGCGGCCCGAGGACGGGGTGTGGGCGCTGCGCCTGTCCTCCTCAGGCATCTGGGCCAATACCAGCCCCGAGGCCGAGCTCTTCCCCGCGCTGCGGCCCCGAAGAGTGGGCATCGCCCTGGATTATGAAGGGGGTACCGTGACATTCACCAACGCGGAGTCACAGGAACTCATCTACACCTTTACTGCCACCTTCACCCGGCGCCTGGTCCCCTTCCTGTGGCTCAAGTGGCCAGGAACACGCCTCCTGCTGAGACCTTGAGCTTTGACACCTGCCCATGGCCACATCCACAGATGCTTTACTTCTCAGATTCCGGAACTCTCTGACGGGGGTGGGGTGGGAGTGGGGGCTGCTCTGGGAGTGACCAGAGCACCTGGAGCAAGGGAGACTGGGGACCGGATCTCCCCTCCCCCGACTTCCCCATGGTGGGGGCCCCATGAGGCCTCAGTGCTGTTGCTGCATCTGCCCTGCCTCGATCTGGTTCTTCTCCCTCCCGCTGGTTTCCCGTGGGCGTCTCTGAGGCTCCCTTGCTCCCCGCAGCCCTTTCCTCTGGGTTGTGCACTCTTGTTGACCGCGGGGCCGAGGCAGCACTGTCTTGCCCAGGAAGGCAGCCTCTGCCAGGTGGGCTGGTGAGACCACTCGGTCCTGCCTGAGAGCACTGCGCTGTCTCTGAGTCCCTCTGGGTCCCCTGGCCCAAAGCCACTCAGTGCCCACCTTCCCTGGCGTTTAGCAGACCCTGCACCCCCACACACCTGAAAATGCTGAAAGTAAGCAGGATGCAAGGTCTCGGTGGCTTCCCTGGCCTGCGTGGGGAGGGGGGGGGGAGGAGGCTATCATTGCCCTACGAGGTCCAGAGCAGGCTCCATGCTTCTCTGAAACCAGGGCTGAGCTAGGAGGCTTCTGTAGCTAAGGAGGTGGGGCTCTGGCAAAGATCTGTGGCCAAAAGACTATCTCTTTGTATGGGTCCTCGTGAGGGGAGGTTTCTCACGAATCCAAAGTCCCAGGAACTCAAGTTCCTGTTGATCAGCACATCTGAAAACAACAGGGCAGACACCCAGTAGAGCAGCCCCTTCTGACTGTTCTTTGCTGAGCTGTCGTCCCCTAGTCCTATTCAGCAGCCAGGTTCCTCTTCCTGGAGACGGAAGGTGGTGGTGTGGGGAGAGGGGAGGCAGGAGTCCTCAGGAGCCCACCAGGTCTTGTCAAAGGAGGAACCAAAGTTTCCGAATTAACCATAGACCCCACCCAAGCCCCGGCCTTTGTCCAGGTGCCCCGAGGGCCCGCAGTTTACGTCGGGCTCCCTGCTCCAGCAAAAGCGATGTCCCAGTCTTTGTTCTTAGCCATTCCGAGTGCTCTGCCAGTCCCCTGCTTATCCAGGTTTTTAATTCCTGTGCCCTGCTCCCCACTGCTGTGGTTCCATGGCCACCGCATGTGTCAAGAGTTGCCACTTTGTACATATCACATGCTGCCTGAGTCACTGGTACATCTTTTGCCTCTAGTTTTGTAAGCTCCTGGAGGGCGGCTGCCATCTCTTAGACTTCTCTTGTACTATTCTTGGCACCTAGTGCAGTGCTGGGCACAGAGTAGGTGCTCAATAAAGATTTATTGAATGAATGGCCTGGAGCGAGAGATGTGTGTATACATATGTAAGTATTTTTATTATAACAGGTGTCACCAGGAGTTCTCAGCCTGGTCACAAAGCTTCCATTGCTAGCAGTAGCCCTGAGTTTCTTCTTTCTGGAATTCTGGCGTTCTCTGTCCTCTGCCAACATGCAGTTCCTTCTAGAAACTGCCAGAGAAGAGCCTCCCTGGGACTCTGATGAGGCGCTGGCATGGCTCCATGTGGCTTCCTCTCCCACTGTGGTGCCCTGAGCTGAGATCCTGCATCTGGAGCATGGGATAGCTCCTTGAGAAGGGTGACATCCAGCCTGGCACACCCACAGTCCACAGCGCCCCAAGGAAGAGGGAGTGGAAGCTAACGAGGCTTCCATAGCCGGGAGATGGGGCTCCCTGGAAGGATCCAGAGCCTGTGACTTTGGAGTGACAGCCATGACCATGGCCAGTAAGTTATCTCTGTAGATTGGTTCTTGTGAGAGCTGTTTTACAAGACTCCAAAGGAAATATCTGCAGAGATTCAATCTTGTCCCCACAGTTATCTAACCATTTCGTACTCTTGCTGGTTTCTTAAAATTGCCATCTTAAAGATGGGAAAGGGAGGATTATACAGAACTACCTCTAGGTTTATACTAGTAACAAAGCGTATTTCTTGTACTCTCATCTGGGGGCTTGTTTAAATTTTCTCTTTTATTTCCTGTTTTCATGCTGTTCGTTTTGCACAAACTATAGCTGCACATATCGTCAACTATTCCTACAGTGCTTATTACCAAAAAAAGAAAAAAAAAAGGACAGTTCCCTGTCCTGCCCTCTTCCCTAGCCGGCTGCCTTGGTGTTTCCTCAGTAACCTGAGTTTGAGGCATTAGCCCCTGATTTCCAGGGTACTTAGCTCTCTGTTCACTGCATTGCCCACCACACTCATTCTCCCCACTCCTTCCTTCAGTGTGGTCTTAACACTGATGAAACAGGTAAGTCCAGGTAGAAGCTGTTTACTCCTGGGCTACGCATATGGGCATGCTTACTTTTCCTCTGTGCACAACGTTTTGTCTTTCCCAGAGTTGCTAATTGCCTCCCCTCCCACGCTTTAGCAGTGTTTCCTACATCTTTATTACTACTGACCCACAAAGTCACGTTATCAGGCATCTGAAATGGTCAGTGTAGCCTTGGTGCATCTCTCCTGAAGCCCAAGGCCTCGAGTCTGAGGGAGCTGCTGCTGCACCGTGCACCTTCCTGCACCTCCCTTCCCCGTCATCCTGGGGGCCCTGCATGGATGCTGCTCTTGAGCCTGTGTTTTCCCTCTTAATGCACATCGCCCTGGTGAAGCATCACTCACTAGCTTCCTGGAAGACTGCGCAGAGGTTGATTTTTTTTTTTAATAAAATTTCGGCTGTCTGGAAATACTTTATGCCATTTTCACATTCATTGGGTTCAGGATTCTTGGTTGGAGATAATTCTTTAGAATTTTGGAAGACACTGCACCACTGCCTCCTGGCATCTGTTATTGCTGTTGACAATTCTGGCGGGACACCTTGACTCCCGACCCTTTGTATCTGGCCTGTTGCTTGTTTCTGATGGACTACGGTTTTATTTTCCCCTTCCTCTTGAATTTGTAGGAGGTTTCCCTGCATTAGGCTGATTAACTCAGTGGGCCCATTCATTCTTCTTGAAGTATTTCTTGACAATTTTTCTTTCCTCTCAAACATGTTATTTGCAGCCTTCCTACATCTCTGAAATCCACTTACTGAGTGCCTGTGGTGTGCTAGCATATTTCTAGGGTGAGGCAGAGAGTAGATTAGCCAAGTTGCTACTCATGGAGCTTATGTGCCAGCAGAGAGTGATGGGCAACAAGCTAGAATAAAAAATAAAACAGCAGTTTACACTATACAAAGAGCCAGAATAGGACTGTGATGGAGGGACTCGGTGTCCTCTGGGACAACGGCAGTAAAGCTGAGTGGTGAGGAGAGGAGTCTGAGAGTACAGCAGCCAGCGGGGAGGGCACAGTCCTGAGGCAGGGGTGAGCTGGCTACGGAGAGACTGTCTAGGGAGCGGTACAGAAGAGCAGAGAGTGACAGAGGAAGGTGGCCGGCTGGGCAGAGGTGAGCCCTGCAGGCCCCTGGACCGGCTAGAAGTGCAGGGGCTAGAAGTGTGGCATGAAGCTGTTGAAGCACAGGAGCAGAGGAGCGTGACTGAATACAGTGAGCGGCACGGCAGCACGACGTGGGAGCCATCGTTCTTGGCACTTGAGATGCATCAGCTCTTAAAAAGTCCCTTTCCTCAAGGAGATCTCATTCTAAAAGGGAGAAATCAGCCCGGTGAGTACGAAATGTCCAAGCACAGTGTGCTAGAAAAAGTAATACGGGTGATAGAATCGCTTTTCTAAATGATCCGTTTGGAGAAATGGAAGAGTTAGGACTCAGGGAATCCAGAGCAAGACTTTGGTGGCAAGCCGAGTGAGATGGATGGTGGTGGTTCTGAGTGCTGTGATACCAGGAGAGAGAGGCGAACCAGTTTGGAACAGGCTTGAAGGGCAGAGTCAACAGGGCGTACTAGTTAGAAGGAATGCAGTGGGTGGAAGGAAAGAAATGGTGATTCCTAGGTTTTGGCTTTGATCAAGGAAGTGAGGATGGAAGTTAGAGATGATGAGGGAGTGGATGAGAAGGTACGGATGGGATCAGAGTTCCATTCTGCTCATGTTAATGTGTGCGTTCTGTACAGCTAAGTGGAGAAATCGAGATAGTTAATCGGCTGAAGCTCTTCTGGTTTGGGATTAAAAAGTACATATGGGCACCATTTAAAGCCACAGAGTGAGTGTGAAGATCAAAACTAGTAGGGAGCCCACGTAGGCCCCTGTGGCATCCCAACGTCTAAGTAGACCAGGCAGGAAAGGAGTCAGCGAAAGAATCAGAAACAGCAGCCAGTTAAGCAGAAACAAGCCCAATGAAGTCAGGGCATGAAACGCAAGGCCCTGGCAGGGGCTGGGGCCAGGTGCATCCAATGCTGCTGAGGTACCATGGACGCAGAAGCAGAGGAGGGGCTGATGGATGCGTCAGCATGGAGGGGATGGAAGATGAGGTGGGGCGCGCAGGTCCAACTCATCCCCAAAGCCAAGAAGGGTGCTAATAATTAGCAGGTCTCCCAATTGTTAGGCCCAGGTAGAGGGGCCCTAGGCTGTGTTGGATTGTGCTCAGTGCACTGTGCTGTGTGCCGTGTGAGGACCAATGTATCCGTGGGGTATATCAACCAGGCCTTCTTGCCCTCTGGCATCTGACTGCGTTTAGGGAAGGGGTGGTACCTGTATGAGGTAAGAGGGCAGGGGCAAGAGGAGGCCTGGTGCTTGTTCCCCTTCCCTCCTGGGCCGTGAGTTGGCTGGTGATGCCCTCCCCGACCTGTACCACAGCTGCTGTTGCAGCCACACTCTCTCCACTTGGATGTTTCATTGTCTTTCAGTTGCAATGCTTAATTTTTTTTCTAAGATTCTTTGGTCCACAAATAATTTAGAAGTACATTTTTATGTGTTGAAAGTGTGTAGGCTTTCTAAATTACCTTTGGTTTTTGATCTTTATTACATTGTGGTCAGAGGTCATTGGCTGCATGACTGACAAGTTGAAAATCACGCAGACACAGTTTATTAAAAAAAAAAAAAAAAAGCTTTGTCAGCTGCAACTTTATTATGCTTTTGTTCAAAGAGAAAGATAGGTAGTTTTCGAAGCTCTGACCAAGCAAGAAATCTTGCAAACATCCGTACCTTCTGAAAACATGTTTATTCAAATCTTCCCAGAGCAATTATTATCAAGAAAGAAAATCACCTAATGGAAGACACTTTAAAGACCAAAAGTTTTGTCAGATTCTACAGAGCAGAATAATAATACCTGGGCTTGAGGCATCTTGAAAGATTCTTTTGTTACAAATAACATTTACAAAAATGGTCTTTATGGTCACAGGAAAAAACAGGAGTGGTTACAGGTGTAAGTTGCCACACGCTGCATGCCCGGAGCTGTGATGCTCTTGTTAGTGCTCCTGGCTGGATGCCTTATCAAGCAAGCAGCAGGAGAGAGAGCTGCCCCCTGCTTCTTTCTGAAACTCCTTTCACCAGCAACTGCTGTTTAGGAGAGCCAACATTCCCGGGTCTAATCCCAGGAATTCTACAGGTCAGTGGTAGGAGAAAAGGGTAGGCCAGAAGCTTAACAACTCATGGGAGAAGGTGGAAGAAGTTTCAAAACAGAAGATGTAATGTTTTGCTTGGACAGCGATACTGGTTGTTTTGTTTTTATGTCTAGGTCGTTGTTCTAAGTGTTCCGAGTGCTCAAGAAGATGCCATTTCTATTGTTAAGTTCAAGGTCCTGTATATGCCCATTAGATGAAATATTTTGTTACTTAAATGTCTGTAACTTTATTAGAATAACTTCATTTTTTGTTCAAACATTTAATGTCCTTAGTAATTTTTTTACCTTAGTATCAATGATTGAGAGATATGTTCATAAATCTGCTACTGTGATTGTTTAATTATCAAATTTTTTTGTAACTCTCAGTGGATGCAATAGAACTTAGAATTTTTAGTTTCCAAATACATTGTCACTTTAGCCAGAATGTAGTGTCCTTTTCTCCTCTAATCTAACACTACTTCTTTCATTAATTAAAGTATATTTTCTCTGACACTGATGTAGTTGTATTAACTTTCATTGGTTATCGTTGCCAGGTACAGCACGTGGAATCTTTCCCTACCACTGTTTCATTAGTTCTTTAGTAAACAATGGAGCTGGGTTTTTTTTCTTCCCTAATCTATGAACCTGTCTCTTGGCAAATGAGTTGATTGTGTTTACATTTATTGTGATCATTGGTGGGTCAGTTACTTTCTTCATATTATTTTGTGATCTCTGTTTGACATTATTTTTCTATGCCCTCTCTCTTTTTTCTTATGTTTGCAGGAATGACTGAGGTTTCTTTAGTCCATTGCTTCCCCTCTCCTGATCTGGGAGTTACAGGAGAGTACTTCAAAAAGT